TTTCACCTGCTGGCATAAATTCGCATTAAGCAGAGCACGTAAAACCGAGTTCGCTCATGTTAAACTTTTTAACCTGCGACGTGAACGAATAGCATATAGCTGACCAAGTTCTCATCATGTGCCATAACGGGAAAAACTTCTTGTTTACACTTTTCAATATGGTGTCAGAAACATATAGCAATGAGTTTTTTCAGAGATCATAACTATTCACAAGAACAAAATCATCTGTATGGTTTACAGCAGCGGTCGTCAACCGGGTGGTCCATGAAAACGTTTTGATTGTCCGCAGAAAAATTGGGGCATTATTTATAATTTTTATGAAGATTCAATTTAAAAACGACAAGTAACAAAGCCTATTATGGAATACAAATTATACTTTTTTTAAATTTTAGCTACTACTTTTAGCGAAATTCCTTCTGAATTTAGATACATTTTAGCTACTTTTGCAGGGTGTATCTAGTGACATTTGAAAGTGAGAGTCGGCATCCATAGATATGTTGCTGGTATCAATAATAGCGCAAACTGGAATTCTCTTTTCCTTTTGAATTACAAACATATGCTATTGTGGTCAGTAATAACACAGCTTTTCTCTGTGTCAAAAGGCAGCTTGATGGATTTTTATGAGAACCATCTGCATTCTTGTTTATAATTGCATCACTGGAAGTTTCCGTTTTTGTTTTGTCTAACTGTTGATCGATGACACCATTGCTGTGTAAGCGATGATTATTATGTTTACAATAATAAAAAATTGGCGGCATAACACTGTCAGTTTACTGATATTGCTTTATGTTTGTTGATTTGTTCTTGCTTTTCATGAAGTTCCTTTTCAGTGATATGGAAATGTGAAGCTTTCTGTAAAAGAAGCTAAGATTTTTGTACTTTTCATGTAATTTTTCAATGTGAACGAGTGTAGTTTGCTGCTTATTATTGTATAAATGTATTTACCTTTTTTTAAAAATTCACATTAGTGGTCAGCCAAATATAAAATTATATATGTAGTGGTTTATGAAGTTCTATGGGTTGACGACCGCTGGTTTACAGCATCCTCAGTTCTCTCAAACCATATAGATTGGTATAAATTTCAAATTCTCATTAAGGGGAAAAAACTGTATATTTATAAAGCAATAATCCGACCAGCATATCTATATGCTTCACCTGTATGTAACACCATAAGTAATAGGAATTTTGTTTAATGAACTTTGAAACATACTTTCGCTTTGTAGATCTTTTATATATTAATAAATATATATCAGAAATTCTATTTTTGACATAATCGAAAGTTCAAGCTTACTTTTATAAAATTGCTCTAACAGTCTGCAAAAAATAATAAGCCGGATCTAATTCGAAGATTAAGGAACAACTCAATCTGCAACATTAACTGAAATAGATAATTAAATAATTTTAGCTTAGCTTATACCGTCCGTTATACATTAAACGCGCACTCGTAAACATATTTTGCGCACACGCACTAGCATATTCGCAGCCGTAAAGGTCTTTACACGCATGCGTCAACGCGATGCATGCGCAGAAAGTTTGTAGCTTTGAGGTCCGGATTACAGATCATTCCAGATTATGGGTGTCTGAATTAACAACTTTTGACTGTATAAATTTTATAAATTAAAATTTTTTACTATTTTATAAATCTTAATTTGCATAAAAACTGATTTGTGCATATAACTGTTTAATCTTACTATTCGAGTTGTTAAATTGCTTATTAAACAAAATTTCACTATAACATGAACCAAGCGTGATATTCTTTCGACCAGACAAAGAAACAAAAAATAAAATACTTTGAACTTGCAGCCTTCTTTGAGTCACATGATTTTTTATCTTCAATAATTCTATTGGCTAAATGCAGACTTCGCTCGCATCCTCATTTGGATGAATTTTCGAGGGCAACGTGCATTTTGTTGTGTCATTTACGTCACTAGTGTAGTCGTATGGACGCACCTTTAGTCTTTAAACGTCTGTCTCAATTTTAGCCTTTTATTAAAAGGTGGCATAATTCACAAACATAAAAATCTTCCAGTTTAATCACAACTTACAAGAAGCACATGCTAAGTTTCCTGGCAATAGTATAACCAAACGAGACGTGTAAAAAATCACAAGATGATTACTAACAAATCACTACATTATATTAAAAGAGCTTAAATTACTGTTGGTAAACATGCTATGATAATATTCATATGCAAAAAACAAATCTTTGTAGATATGTCTTTCACATTTCTCAAATCAATAAATATCTTTGTGATTTCTCTCACAAAGTAGTTTCATTCTTTTTGAATTACCTTGCATGTTCAGGCTAGATTTCTTGATACTTTCTGATCATCCAGATCACCAGTTTTAATATATGGCAGAACTGACATGTTTTGGGGGTATATGAGTATTATACACAAGAACAGGCTATTGATGCATGCATGTTCCACACTCATGTTTGAATGCATACTTCATATTAAACGTCATTTCAATGAGCAATATTCATTGGCAGTAAAGATGTAAATATCAGCCATACAGAATTTTGTTTTCTCAACAGAATTTTGTTTCTGGTTGTTTGCAAAACACTTATTATTATAATTTACAGTACAAAGTCCAAAATCCGGACTCGTCGGGACTTCGGCAATTCCGGATTAGGGATTTTTCTGGATATTAGATCATCAATTTAAATCTGGTAAGATGGCATGCAGAAATTATACAATTAAAAATATGAAATTGTAATTTATGAAATAAAGAGCAATTATGATCTAAAGGGTATAAAGATTTACAAAAAAAAAAAAAAACTTAATATTTATATTTTTACTTTATTAAACATTTCTTTCAATGTAAGTTGTTTAAGTTGCTTCGTTTTGTGTGCTAAGACTTTCTCTTTCTATAAACAGACATAATTTCTTGTTCAGTTACAAAGTTTCACTGCTCAAGTCCAGTAATTGCTGTGTCGAGAATACTGACTAACTTGTCAATTGAAGTTTTTTCATTTTCAATAACCTCTTTGTCACTTTCTTCACTATCGGTAGTAGTATTTTCTGGATCTAGAACCATACTAGAGAGTTTGTGATCCATTAATTGATTGATGATTGGGGCATTGTCATCGCAATGAAAAACTTCTGTCATATCATCTTCATTTATTACTTTTCCAAATTTCTTTACAAAATCCATTAACTGGAAAATTTCACCTTTAGTTTGCAATATCCCAAAACCTTCAAATTCACAGCTATCATCATCTTCGTCGTCACCATGAAATATGATAGCTGGCCATAAATTATGCCAAGCATTTTTTAACATATGTGGAGACACATCCTTCCACTATCTTGTTATGCTCCACACAGCAGATTTTATGCTAAAATATTTCAAAAATTCTTGAATATTTTTTCCATTGTTCAAGAAATTTAACATGGATTTAAAAAATGCTACTTTATATTTGCATTTCAGCGAGCACACTATTTCGATATCCATAAGCTGAATGACAGATGTACAATTTCAACTAAAACTTTAGGTGAAGTATGAGCTGAAACAGTTGTCTACAATCAGTACTATTTTTGAGTCATCAGGTAAACCAACCAAATTCAAATGTTGCCAATCCTTGGGTATAAAATGATTTTCAAACCAATCATTCATTAACGCTTGTGTCATCCAGTCATCCATGCTCTTTTATTTGCACGATATTAATGGGGAAAATCGTTACTCCTTTAAATGCTTGAGGTTGTGCATATGTTCTGATTACGAAAGTTTTGCATTATAAAAAACTTCTCATCCCTTAATTTTGCCGCTCGGTGCTTCCCCAAGTTCCAAAATTCCGTATTCCCCAAATTCTGCTGTTTGTTGCTGCTTCTGGGTTTATGGTGAATAACATATCAGTTACTCCTAATTAAAATAGCACTAAATGTAATCTTTTGGCCTATGAGTTTCATTAACAAAATCTATTTTTAGCATATGGAAAGAAATTTTTGTTAAATTTTAGCTTTTCAACATTTCTTAGAGCATTTAAAAATCTATAATCATCGCTAAGCGTAATGTTAGCATAAGAACTTGCCATACTCTTGTCATTCAATTACTAATATAAAAAAAGTTCAGACATCACTGCATGAGTTATTATTGAAGTTGTCATGTATTGATAAACATGCGGTGATGAAAGCAAAATAATGACTTGCCAGGTTGACATCAGGGATATAAAATATGTGAATGTTTCGGTTTGAGATGTATGCCTAACAGACACTCGGCTATGGAGCCAAATTATTAATCTTGCAAATTTATGCTTACATGATTGTTTTTTCATGACGAGGTATTTTATTTAGAGCCTAAGTGAAATTAAGAATCGGACTTTTTAAGTGAAATTCTCCATATTTTATTATGGAAGAAAAAATCAAATGCGCATGTGTAAAGTATACAAAAAAAAAAAAAAAAAAGTTTGTGGCTTTGAGGTCCGGATCTTAGATCATTCCAGATAATGGACATCCGGATTTCGGACTTTGTACTGTATTTATGGACAGAAGAACACTCACAAATACAGCTAAGTAAACAACTTTTGACACTTCTCAGCAACTTTTCGTGGGTATGCAGATAATTAGAAAGTATTGTTTACTTTATGATGAATGCTTATATATATATGAATAATACATGATAAACAAACAATAATAAAATAACAATTCACTATAACAAACAAAAATTTATCTTGATTATTAAAAACAGATTTCATGAAGCCCAGCTGCCATTAAAATAAATTTTAAAATTAACAAAATTACAACAGAACAGAAAGCAGAAAAACTAATTTCCAAAAAATAAACTTTTGTCTGAAGAAACATTAAATGGGATTTAATGATACGTCTACCTAACTGTCCAGAAATAAATAAAACAGATGCTATAAAAACATAACCTAACAAAAATATTTAGTCATTACCTAGACTAATTTTTTAAGACAATAAATGAAGAACTATGAATCAATTTCAAATGCTTATAGTCATTAAATATATTAAAATTCTGAACACCAAAAAAATAAAGTCACTTACTTCTGGTGGTGGAGGACTTCTAATTCCAAAAGATATAATATCACGCTCTCTCAGAAATGCTTCCTTAGCCATGTCAGCCTGTAAATCAAGTTCATAAACATATTAACATCCTGCCAGCTCAAAAAAAAAAAAAAAAAAAAAAAAAAAAAAAAAAGATATTAACCTAGTTCATCACAGATCATTTTCCTTTTAAAACTGATTACTTGACAAAGTGAAGTAAACTGTAGCACGTGATAAATCGGTAATTTCAAAATTTTAAAAATTTAGGAATTATTTAACTGCTCAAGTCCTATGTAGTATGATTACACTGTTTCTGTTTCATTGAAAGTCTCATACCAGACATGATATTCAACTGAGAATATATTTAAATTCTACTGAATTCTACTCGCTCAATTTTATAGATTCCTGCTTGTCATGTTACTTTTTTGTATGAAATATCTAAGTAATAAATTTTATTTCTTGCCATTATTTCCAAATATTTTTATTCAATAAAACTGGAAATATTTATAAACCATTAGTATTATTATACAGCATGGTGACGAACTTTGAAATCTGAAAAACCAGACAATATTTCTGTGGACAATGTGAGAAACTAAAGATTTTCATGCTCTGCGGCGATCCCATTTCAGAGAAAGTCCAGATATACTGAAAGTCACTTTCAAATTCACAATTCAGGTTATCTAACTATTGCTAAAATGGTTCTGATTATAAAATATTAATTCAATTTGATATTCTAAATTTTATATTCATTAGATATTCATCATGTTCGATATTCTTAATTTATATTTTTAATAGTCTTACTTTTATATTGAGAAAATCTCGAGTAGGGAAGGAAACCATTTATCAACGCACTTTTTATATGATGATAATAAAATTAATAATTAATGTATACAGTACTTGTGTGGATAAACTTTATAATGTATCATACATAAGCTCAAGTAAACAGTGGATTTCAGATCAAATGGGATTTTAATAAGAAAAAATAATACAACTCAAATGGGGGGGGGCAGGTAAGTTTATTCTCAAATTTACTAGGAATAGGGGAATGCAATTTGTACAATTTAAGTTTTATTAACTCAATCAATTTTTGTATGAGAAAACAATTTGCTTAGCAGCTTTCCTTAGTAAAAGCTAAAAAATTAAAACTGGGAAATGTGTTAAAAACTGGGACAGTTACAAACCAGAAGTATTTTTAATTTTAAAAGCAAGCAGTATTTCAATTAAACAGTAATTACATAGCAGTTACATTTGTGAAAACATGCTGTATGAATGTCGACTGAATTATGAAAAAATTAATGCATTGAATAATCTTATCAATGAATTGATTCTATCATAAAAATGACATAGTGATTTTTGTCTGACACAAACCAGCTTTTGTGCTAAGGTGCTTACACAGCATTGCAATCGTCTATTAGAATTCGTTACTTTCATTACGGTTGCAGTGCAAGTCCCTAGCAGCCACACATATCAATTCTTCAACCATATGCATACATTTTTTTTTTAGTTTCAACAAGTAACATTGCCATTTTTATACACGTTTTTGCTGTTCTCCAAGTTAAGTTATTTTGGTTATGACAAACCACATGAGGACTATCTGCTTAAAAAAGGGAGGTCTTCGTGCAGGACATCATCAGAGAAACTGGGTCATATTCATGTTACACATGGGTGGGGGAAGAACAAAAACTCATGCAAACAGCATATTTGCTAAGGTTTTTATATATATATATATGTGTGTGTGTGTGTGTGTGTGTGTGTGTGTGTGTGTGTGTGCGTAATGAAAGCAAGACTTAGAAGTAATGATGTAAAATAAGCTGATGGTGTAGAATGCTGTACTGTTGATCCATAATAGATGTAACCTCACAACCACACTTAGAAGTAATGAACAGCACGAAATTTGATTGCATAGAATGCTGAAATGTTGATCCATACTGAATAGGAAACTGGCAGCGGAGGCAGATTAAATCTTCATTTTTACTTCAGTAAACATTTTGCAGCTACAGAGAAACCTGGCACACTACTTGTGCCTATTTCAATATGTGTATACACTAGACAGCTTTGCAACAAGAAGAGAGCAGCAGGCAACAGTCCAGCTAGGCTGAAGTGTAAAAAGAAGGTGCAGTTGTGTTTAGAAAGAAATCGTAATTCAGATGGTGTTAGTTTTGGTTTGTAATGCATTTGATTGGATAATTAATGTGAAACTATTATTGGCCATTTGCATTTTAGATACATTTACATAAGTATTATGCATGTGTCATATGACATGGATTCCTTTTAAAATATGGAGGCGATATACAAAATTAAAATTAAGCATCAAGGGGCTAATTTAAATTATAATTTATCTTTTACATATTTTTGTATTTTACACACACACATATATATAATATATATATATATATATATAATAATTTATTTCCTAAACAGTATTGATTAATTGATTATATTATCTCCTAAGTTTAATTAAAGTAGAATTATTTTAAAAGTGTGCATCCATACTGGTAAGTTATATTTTGAAAGATGTTTTGAAGTAATTTGAAAGCAAAATGTTAATAATGTTTTAACGGGGACTGGAGTTAAATCATCACGAGGAATAATATTACAATTGTAAAAGTAAAAAATAAAACATGTAATTATTGTCATTGATCGGAAATTAGTTGACTTTTCAAGGGGAACAAACCAACTCCCGTTCAATGATCAATAATTGATAAAAATACGTAAATATGAAAGTGTTTCGTCTTTACTCGAGTTATAAGTTAAAGCCAAACCGGCAATTCTAGTCAGGCCAAATATTTCCGCGAATAGTTGTTACTCAAAGAACTGATTCTCATGAAGCATTTTAGTCAATTCAATTTGGAGTAAGTAAAAATCAATTACTGTAGAGAAATCTTGTAAAACTCGAGTAATCGTCCCCGACACTATCATCTTTATGTATTTGAGTACTATATTATTTGTAGAAATTAAACATTGGAAATTGTCATTATGAAATCGAAATCAAAGTAAAGTTGAAATAAACATAGAAGATTATAAAAAAGATAAATAATGCAAACTTTGCAAAAACAAATCACAGAGAACATAAAAAATAATATAAAAATAATATAAAAATAAAATAGAAAAATAATATAAATAAGATCAGTGAATGTACATGAAGATATAAAGGCCAGAAAGGTATTAAGTAACTTACATTCTTTCTAGTGGGGGAGTTGGCAGTGTGTTCTCTTCGTGTCTGACTCAGAAATGTAGGGTGTCCGAAAATTCTTAGCGCAGTAGGGGCTTTGAATTATATCAGTCGGTAAGACTTGGTTGAAGAAATTTATGGTAGTGGGTGGGACTTTGAATTCTTGAGGGATGTATTTTGTGGAGTTCTTATCTGAGAGAGACCGTCTGTTAAGATTTTTTTAAAAATACTAGTGAATGGAAATTAATTAATTTCTGGCTAATTGTCGTGTATGTGAATGATATATTGAATGAACCGAAATTCATTGAAATCAAGAACAAGTTTTTCTAATACTTGTGCAATAACTGCAAAGTAGGATAATAATAATTTATTTACTAAATATTGATTATATTACCTCCTAATACAAATTTAGTAGAATGTAGCAAAATGAGGTAACCCAGAAGTATGAAATTTAATTCCAAAAAATGTTATACAGTTGAGTCCGGTTAATCGGACTACATCGGGAAGCGATCGTTTTGGTCCTAATAACCGGCTGGTCCGATTACACGAACATATCCTATGTTGTAAGACAGGGCATGCTATATGTAGCAAACAGTAAATGTACATGTAAATCATGTACTAAAATGTAATTATGAACTTTATGGTGTGGTACTCACGTATGGCAGCTGATTTTGGGGACATGACTACAAGAGTGAACTAAACCAGTGGTCGCCAACCGGTGCACCGTGAAAACTTTGATGGTCCACAGAAAAATTGGGACATTATTTATATTTTTATGAAGCTTCAGTTTAAAAAATGGTAAGTAACAAAAACTATTATGGAATATGGATTATACTTTTTTTAAAAAGTTTAGCTACTACTTTTAGCGAAATTCCTTCTGAATTTAGTGACATTTTAGCTACTTTTGCAAGTGTATTTAGCGACATTTGAAAGTGAGAGTTGGCATCCATGGATATGCTGCTGTTGTCAACAATAGCATGAACTGGAATTCTCTTTCCTTTTGAATTACAAATATGTGCTATTGTGATTGTTAATAACACAGTTTTTCTCTGTGTCAAAAGGCAGCTTGATTGATTTTTATGAGAACCATCTGCATTCTTGTTTATAATTGCATCACTGGAAGTTTCCGTTTTTACTTTGTTCCGTTTCTGTTGATTGATGGTGCCATTGCTGAGTAAGCAATGATTATTATGTTCACAATAATTAAAAACTGGCGGCATAAAACTTTCAGTTTATTGATATTGCTTTGCGTTTGCCAGTTTGTTCTTGCTTTTCGTGAAGTTTCTTTTCAGTGATATAGAAATGTGAAGCTTTCTGTACAAGAAGGTAAGATTTTTGTACTTTTTAGAATGGAATATGTGTATTAGTGAAATGTTAATAGTGTTTTAATTGTTAGTCAGGGGCATAGCCCTGATAAAGGCATGCTCCTGATGACCTGATTTCCATAAAGGGATGCTGCTGAACACCAAATGTTTCGAATATTATAGAATACTATATTAACAAATGAAAATTAGAATTGCATGTATTGGGAAGTTGAATATTGTTTTTGTGTATTACACTACAAAGTCTGTAATCCGGACTCATCGGGACTTTGGCGATTCCGGATTAGGGGTTTTTCTGGATTATAGATCATCAATTTAAATCTGGTACAATGGCATGCAGAAATTATAGAATTAAAAATATGAAATCATAATTTATGAAACAAAGAGCAATTATGATCTAAAGGGTATCAAAATTTACAAAAAAAAAAAAAACTTAATATTTATTTATTTACCTTATTAAACATTTCTTTCAACGCGCGCATGCGTAAAGCATATGTTACGCGCATGCACAAAGCATACATCACGCTCATGCACATTCTGTATAAAAAAAAAAGTTTGTGGTTTTGAGGTCCAGATTAAAGATC